CTTAGATGAATGTGGCATTCAGAAATACTAGCTCATGTGGTGTATCCTCCTCATTGATTGAAATTGCAACGAACATTTTGGCAGTTTGTGTATCTATTTGACTTGTCTTACTACATCGTTTTGCGCGTTGCTCCCGCCTAAATTATTTCAGTAAATGCGGTAATTATATTTATTCACTTTCAATCTGCTTATCTTTTGCTGATCTAAGACCAAAACATTCATGTCATAAAGCTTGACATTCTTCAGTTTTCTCGAGGATTCTTAATGAGGTCTGCCCGATACGCGCCAACGATGTTTTAGAAGTCATCCCTTCCTTGCAGCTTATTGTTCTTACCTTCCACTTATTGCCCTTCATCTTTTCTTTTACCAGCTGCTTTCAAGTTTTATTTTTCTCGTTTGAACTTCTTACGCAGTCACCGAACCTGTTCAACATAATTTTATACAAACTAATTTATTTTGAAAATTGATGCTCATTTTTAAATTTAATTAGGTTTTTCTGTAATGCTGACCAAATGCTCACAATCCAAAGGTAGCGAAACACATAAAACACAATAAGATCAGAAAAAGTATCAACGACTTGTTTCAGTACTCCGTTTTGTAGGTGCGTGTGACGAATTCCTCTGTAGCCAATGAAATTGCCACAGGGATGGATATTAGGCCCATAATAATTGGATCGGTTGGCGGTGTTGATTCGGCTTATGCACTGGATTGGTAAGTGAATGTTTAATTTTAATCCTCTTAGTGGTTGGCAGCGTCTTGTCGCCTTTGCGAATCACTGCTGTATCTCTGTTGTCGATCTTAATAATAGACTGGTGAGAAATATTTTGACGACTTACTTTCGCAGCTTTTGCAGTCTTTAAGTCTACACAAGTCTCCAGTTGTGCAGGTAAGACACATCTTCTTACCCCTTTTTTGATGTCTCATTTTTCCTCCATGCTATTGCAAATCAAATCTGTTCAATATTGCACATTGCAGTTTATATTGCAATGTGGCCATTTTTGCCTTATTTAAAACCATTGTACAACGCTCTTACGCACATATACTAACATGTGTTAGTGTGGGCCCAACTTATTCTTTCACGTGATTGCATAGTTTGCGTCATTTCCGGATTTTTGTTTCCTACTGGTAAGTCGTTTGTTCTACGTGGAAGTTCAGTTGTAAATATTGTCCAGGTGTTATTTCTTCGTGTGGCTTCTCAGAATGTATCTAGAACAATGACTAGCATAATAAGCATTCACTACGTCTTTTGTAAGTTCAGCTATAGTTACTTGCAAGTAAAGTCAGTTGTTCTGCTCCCTCCCCCTCTTGGACCCTTGACGTGGAATTGTACCTTAATAATTAGAAGACGGCTTTCTCCGGTAGGATAAATATCACACCTTTGATTTACCACTTAAATGCTACGGCCTGTGCGTTTGCACAACATCAATTCCTCAAACTGTTTAAGGCAGCCCCCGG